TATTTTATAAAATCCAACATCCATTGATGATTTAAATCCCTCCCTCTCTCTCTCTCTCTCACAGCAGTCTAGAAGAAACTTCTTTAACTAAATACGGGGTAATAAGTATTTCTAATAACCAATAGTACCCATTATATTTACTGGTGAGATGTGAAAACAGTGTGTACTAAGTTAAAAACAAACAAGGAGGCTTGTTATCATTGAATAAAGAAGAGTATTCTATTGGGACTCTTTAGCAGCATAGTAAAGTAGGGAAAGAAAGGTTTTTTAATTGAAGGAAACAAAGTAAAATTATTACTTGGTGTTGTCAGTTTAGAACATCTGAAAAAATTTCTGGGTAAATCAATTAAAAGACATCAGCAACAACAAAGCTAAAAAATTGAACTATATCAGAATTTCAAACTGGCCAGGCATGGTAGCACACGCCTAACGTCCCAGCACTTGGGAGGCTGAGGTAGGAGGCTTACTGCAAGTTCGAGGCCGGCCTGGGCTACAAAGTGAGTTCAAGGCCAGTCTGAACTGCATAGTGGGACCCTGTCTCAAAAAGACAAACAAAAACCCTTAAAACTATGTGTGAGAGTCCTCATAAAATGAGAGAAGATACATCTGAACTAGATGTCTTAAAAGGAATTAATATCCAGAATATATAAAGAATTACAATTCAAAAACAAAACACCATGTGTAACCCACCCGAGAAATGAGCAACGGACTGGAAAAGATATTTCTGTAGAGGTGAGGACCAACAGGGATATGAAAAGGTGCTCAGCATTACTAATCCCCAGGAAAATGGAAATCAAAACCATAGTTAGCTTCATGCCCATTACAGTGTCTACCACTGTGTTTAAAAGAAAATAACAAACTGTTGAGACTGTGGAGACACTGGAATCCTTGTGAACTGTTGGTAGATTGTAACATGGTGCAGTCATTTTGGAAGAGGAGAGAGGTGCCTCAAAACTTAAAAATAGAACTACCATATCATCCAGCAGTTCTGTTTCAGGGTAAATACTCAAAAGAATTAAAAGCAGAGTCTTTGTACACTCATTCATAGCATCATTATTTATTCTCCTTGTTGCCTACAGCTAGAAGCAGCTAGAAGCAAACCAGGTATCCATCATCAGTGGTCATTAGGGCCCAGAGGAGGGGACAACAAGCTGCTCTTGAATGGGTACAGTATATAATTTCAGTTCTGTAGACTAGGAACATCTGGAGATCGGCTGCACAACAGTGTAAATATACTTAATGCTGCTAAATTGCACATTTAAAAACAAGTGAGATGATAAATTTTGGATTAGTTTATTTTGCCACAATTAAAAAGTAAACCAGACCTGGTGGTGTACACCTGTAATCCCAGCACTGTAGGAGACAGTGTAGGAGGACTGATATTTAGAACTCCGCCTAGGCATCTTAGCAACTTAGTGAGATCGTGTCTTAAAAATTTAAAAAGGATTGAGATGTAGTTCAATGTGAAGACCCTCAGTTAATTCCCTAGTATTGTAATCAACCAGTCAATCAGTTAGAAGGGTTGCTGGCTGCAAGACTATAAAATGGGAATAAATATTAGAAATTAATAGATTCTTTAAAGAATTTAAATTTAAAATCTAAAACTTCATTGAAAGACATTAAAGAATGCTCAAATGCATGGGGAAATAAACACATTCATAGAAAGGGCTATTCAGATGTAAAGATGTCAGTTCTCTGCAAAATTATCTGTCAGTTTTATTAGTCCCGATTGAAATCCCAGCAGAGTTGTTGGTGGTGATAGTGCATGTGTAGTAAATGATAAACTGATTCTAAAATCTAGGTGAAAGTGCAAAAAAGGATCAACAGTAATGAAGATACTCCTAAAGAAGAATGTAAGTTTGGGCACTTGCACTACCTGGAAAGATAAGCTGTAGTAAGTAATTAAATCACCATGATACTGGTACAGAATAGAAATAGGATATCCTTCAAGTAGGAAGGAATGATTTATTAAATGAGACAATTGATTGTCCATATGAAATAGAAGTGGATTGTTTCCTCATACCTAGCAGAAGTCAGCCCTAAGTAGAATTCATATTTAAATGCAAAAGGTAAGAATTGTAAAATGTTAGAAGACGTTGTGGAAGAATGTCTTTATGACCTGAGGAAGGGAAATATTTAAGATACAAAAAATAAAATATTACTAAATAGTCAGTGTTAATATATAAAGATAGTAGTGCTGGTATTCAAAAGTATAACAGACTGAGAAGCCTAAAGAGGGAATTGTGTACAACATGACTTTTTTTTAGAGAAAAGCAGCCCATACAACAGTATGGCAAAGATGGGGACAGGCATTTCATGGGAGAAACACAGTTGCCCATGAACATAGGAATACTATGGCAAGTGTTTAAAATGTCTGGCAGTAGCAAAGGTTGGCCAGAATGTGGTGTTTCAGAAACTCACACAGCTGATGGGAGTAGAAATTAGTGTGACCACTTTGTAAAAACACATTGGCAGTGCTTAGTAAATTTGAATAATACATATAACCAGAGGGACCAATAATATCAGTCCTAGAAAATTCTTGCACATGGCCACCAAGAAACATGGAGTAGACTGTATATGGGGTATGTCAGCATTATGAATGACAGGGAAAAAGTGGAAACAACCCAAAAGTTTATCAACAGTGGAACAAATATCTAAATTATGAGTAATCAAGTAATGAAATACCATCAGTTGATGAAAATAGATGAATTACAGTTCCTGTATGTGCATCTACATAGATGAATTACAACAATTTTTAGTGAAAAGAGCAAGTGCAGAAGAATATGTAAGTGTAGATTTTAAACATATTTAGTGCATTATGTATCTATAACTGCTGAAATAATAAAACCAAGGAAATGATTAATTCAAGATCTAGGACAGGGGGCTGGGGATTTAGCTCAGCGGTAAAAGCGCCTGCCTGGCAAGTGCAAGGTCGTGAGTTCGGTTCCCGGTACTGGAGAAACCCCCCCCCCCAAAAAAAAAAAGATCTAGGACAGTGATTACCAGAAGAGAAAAAGTGGCAAGTGGGCTTCTAGTAGAATAGGGGCCCACAAGGAAGCTTCACAGCAACTGTTATGTTCTCTGTCTTAGGCAGACTAGTGCTTAGATGGGTACTATAATTTTTATGGGTTTTATGATTTAAAACTGTATAGTGCTTGCTTTGGCAGCATATACACTAAAACTGTGTATAAAGCTGGTCATGGTTGTGCACACCTGTAATTCAAGCACTTGTAAGAATGAAACACGATTGCCCTGGGTTTGAGGCTGACCTGGGCTAGTGAGTTCAAGTAAGTTGAAGGCAAAAACTGTGTACACATTTTATACCTTCCTTGCTATACTTTAAAAAAGAAAAAAAAATATATAAATCTCACCCTTAGGATTTATAAGAGATGGTGAGAAATGTTTTAAAATTAGGTAAAGTGGATTAGGATATTGAAAATTCAAAAAGTTTGAAGATGTTTGCTTTAGTATTTATAGAATTAATTTTCTAGGTTAAAGCCTCTCTCTTACATCATTTTTAGCGTTAGGAGAAAGTACACAGACCTAAAAGCATATCACTAGCATTGTAGTTCAAGTAAAGTGGAGGAGACAGCAGTTCCAAGACCTGGACTGCTTTTTTTTTCCTCCTTCCTTTACTTCCTTAAAAATTTAGTAAGTGAGCAAAAGGAAGTGGAGAACCATTAGGCAAGAACTTCACAAGTTCTGCCCTGTTTAGCTTTGGGTTACACCTAGACTTTTACCAGAATTTAGTGTTTTGAAGGGGACAGTGAAAGGTGATGTGGAGCCATCATAGGAAGCATCTAAAGAAATTGATATTATTTAGTCCTTATTATAAACACATATCATTTGGCTTTGCCTGTATATTCTTAAATGCAAACAGATTTTACTTTATAATATGTTGAATATTACAACAATCAGCATATAAAAGTCAAGTGGAGATGTGGTTGGTGAAACACATAGCTATAGTGCTTCAAATGGCACATTTGGTAATAAACTACAGAGGGAATAGAATGAAATATTTCATCTCTATTTTGCAATTAATGTCCTGTCAAAATCTCAGACTACAATGTTATTTAAAGAGAATTGAGTGGATCATCATTTACATAAAGAACTTCTTTAAATGGGGTCTTAAGAGGGCCGGAGGGATAGTTTTATCCCACCATTGTCCCCTGAACAGGTAGATAGGGGCTTTGGAAATAATGTTTTATGTAACTTACTTGCGTAATTTTATTTATTTTGTGCATTTTTACTATTAAAGGCTTGATAATCTTGGGATTTGCTGTTTCTGATTTCCAGAGAAAATGTGTTAGTATGCCAATTTAAACTTGGTTTGTAACCCAGGTTGGTCCCAAACTCATAATCCTCCTGCCACAGCCCTCTGAGTGCTGGGATTACAAGTGTGTTACATCATGCCTAGCTCACAAGTTCTTTTTGTATCTCTGATATGTCATAATTTAGAGTCATGGGTCTGATCCTGACTTCCTGTGTGAATGTTCTTATTTGTATCTGCCTATATACTCAGGCCCTAAAAACCAAATGCTCTGCCTTACATTTATTTAGTAATATTTCAACATTTGGGGATGTGGCTTATTTGCTAACATCCATAAGCCATGTACTATTAGCATTATCTTACCCATTTAGTATTGTAGCCCATCAAGAAGTTCTGGTTCTGATTGGAAATTAATCTTAACATCCAAAAAAAAAAAGGATCCAAAAGCATCCAAAGAAGGAATTCATGCAAAGATATGTACAGCTACCCAGAGATACAGTTAACATTAATGTCATAGTGTGACTTCATAGTACAGATGAAGGGATCACAAGTGACCTGGGAATATCTGTGAGTTCCTTTCTGCAAGACCTATTACTGTTGACTATAATGGAATTTGATTTGACTCTGAAAAGATATTTTTCTGTGCTCTTGTCACCAAGTTCTTTTGAAGTTCTTTGTCATTATTTTGAAGAGTTAATTTCATGTGTCCTTATTTTCTCCTTTGACACAGAAATCCCCTGCAAAGAAGCTGAGCCATGCAATTAGTAAATCTTTGGGGTGCGTACCCTCCAGAGAACCTGCACATCCTGTTTTTCCTGAGCAACCAGAGAAACCACTTGACCTTGCACATATAGTGTAAGTATACACCTGGATGTGGGCCATACCAAAATGAAGAACTCACAGAATCGCAAATATTATGTAACATGAACACTGAACTTTCTAGTTTTTTCATTTCATTGGGGAACTCAGTCTTGAAACTCTCATTTCTTTATAGCACCATAAATACGTGGGAACCTAGCTCCTACTTCCTGACACTTAGTAATATAGCAGTCTCCAGAAGTGTGAATACATGGAAAAGTGATTACTGTACTGTCGAACTGAATTGCCTTTCTTTCTGTGTTCTCTTAAATCAGTGGTAGAGATTGTTTCTTCTCCACAGCTCTAATGCCCACAGAGGTTTAAACTATTTTACATGATATGGAAATGAATATCAATTTAATTTGCTCTTTCTAATTAAGAGAAAATTAGCATAAAATTATTCTACCGATAAAACAGGTAACACACAGACACACACACATACACACACAGATACTTGAATATTCATAATAAAGCAAAATTAGAGGAGACCAAAAAATTAAATAGAGGAAGGTAAGGGTGAAAGAAACAATGAGGGATAGGATTTGGCCTCTGCACTGACTTCTTTACTTTGAATAAGGATGACAATAGGAAGTTTACTCTGCTGGATAAAACTGGCAGATTGTTGCATATTAATTTTCATCAGATATATGGAAGTTTTTCTGTTGTAGTGAACATCTATTTTCTTTAACCTACCCAATGACAGATGGTAGACTTAAATGAGCTATTGGGGATATCAGTGTTTTCTTTTTTCCTTTCAGAAATTTGAGTAACTTTTATATTAAAAGAACATGTGCATGTGGATTGAAAATCCAGTAATACAAAAGAACTTATAATAAATGCAACATACTGCCCCATGCTTTAACTTCTTTTGGGTTTTAGGTCTACTAGGAGTTGCCTCTATATTGCTAAGTCATATACATAGAGTGCTGTTTCTTGGTTTAGCAGGTATTACTGAATTCCATTGTGGGTATCAGGAATCACCTTCATTTATAACTCTGCCTACCAACTCATCCCAGTATTTCATAATTATATTTCCATTTTAAGTTGGCCAGCTTTGTAATTTTAAATAATCTTAAAACTCTATTATAATGTCCTTCTACTTATCCATAAACTAAGCAAATTGGTCACTTTTGTCTTATTTCTCCTTTTTCTCCCAGGTGCCATATCTTTCATATTGTCAGTGCTGATAATTTTTCTATTCTGTGACTATTAGTAAATTTCCTGAGATTAAGTTTTCAATCTAAAATTTGAAAACCAAATAGGATTTGGTTTTATTTATGATTAATTTTACACAGTCAAATAATATTACACAGTCAAATAGTGTGCTGCAATTCTGTGTCTTCTTTTGTGGTGCTCTGGTGTCCTGGTCCCTGTGCAGTTACTGTCTCACCAAGAGTTCATTAGCTCTTCTTTGTTACATATCACCGATCACTCAAAATCACATGTGTTGGGGCTGGGATGGGGCTTTGTGGTAGTGCACATACTTAGCATGTTTGAAGCACTAGGTTCCATCCCCAGGCCATATGTCTGCCTGTGTGCACACATTCTGTCAATTTTTGTGGTTGGAATTGTTGTCTTCTATAGTTTCTGTTGTTTTTCCTTCAGTTTTCTGTTGCTTCTTGTTGGGAACTACCTCCCCATTGTGTTTAATAATGCAATTTACCCATTCTTGTAATTCACTTTTGCTGTTGTTAAATTTGTTACATTTTCCCTTTTTGGTTAATATTTTTTATGTTATGTTTAAAAAAACCTTGGGCTGGGGAGATAGCTCAGCAGCACAGTGCCTGCCTGGCAAACACAAAGTCCGGAGTTTGATTTCTGGTACCAAAAAGAAAAAAAATTTAAAAAACTCTTGCCTGCCCTGACAGGCTTTCTCCTTTACTTTTTTTTTTAACGTTTTATGTATATGTTTAATTTATCTGGAATGGATTTTTATATACAATGTGAGAAGAATACCCAATTCTTCTTCCACTGCCTTGTGGCCCCCTACCCGATTTGAATACTAACCTGTTTCAGGCTCCTTTATTGGACAATCTGTCATTTCTTCACCCAGTGACCTGCAGTATCCTATTGTTGAAAATAAGGTTTCCCAATCTGAATGGGTTGATTTGGGACTCTTTATTCTGTCCATCAAATTATCCCTTACCGCTTCAGTTATTAAAGGATTAAGTAATCTTTTTCAGGAGTATTGTCAGTGTCTTTGCCCTTTCATATAAACTTTAGGGTCAGCTTATTGACTTGAATCCCTTGTAAGGTTTTGTTGAGATTTTTTTATTGAAAATTTATTGAATCTGAAGATAGAATTGGAGAGAATTGACATCTTTACAATATTAAATTTTTCTTTCCATGAATGTATTGTGTCATCCCACTTATTCAAATATCCTTTTAGGCCTTTAAGTAAAGTTAACTGAGAAAGTTACCTGAGAAACATCTTGTAATCATTAGGTTAATTCTTGTGCATTTGTTGTTGATGTTACAAATTGTGCCCCTTTTTCCTACATTTTTGGGGCATATTTTATGCAATATGCATCTCCTTTAAGTGTACAATTTTGTGAATTTTGGTAAATATATACTGTCATGCAAATAGATGCTTTTTTTTAACTGTTTCTTACAATTTATTACTGTTGTGTGGAAATGTAAATGGATTTATATTGTTATCTACTACCTGTTCATCTTGCTTGTTTATTCTTGTAATTTGTATTCAGATTCTTTTAGATTTTTTATAGATAAATAGATCATCTACAAATAATGACAGCTTTGTTTCTTCCCATCCATTTTTATACTTTTAAAAATTAATCATACTTTTTTAGGTAGAAGATCTTACTGTGCTGGCTGGAACCACCTGTGTAATACAGAGTAAAAGTGATACAATAGGGCCAGGGATGTAGCTCAGTAGCATAAGTGCTTGCCTGGCAAGCGCTTGGGGTCATGAGTTTGATTCCCAATACCAAAAAAAAAAGTGATATAATAGAGACATTCTTGTGTTTTTGTTAATCCCAAAGAAAATACTGTTAGCATTTATTTAGTACTGTTTGGTTTGGTTTTGTAGGTTGTATCAAGTTAAAGACATTCCTTTTTATTTCTAGTTTCTGGATAGTGCTTTCTTTTTCTCATGAGTGAGTGCTAAATTTTGTCAGACATTTTCTGTATTGAGATGACTTAGATGAAGTTTCTTTTATTGTGTTAATGTAGTAAATTACATTAGTTTGTATGTTTGGGGTAGAGGGTATTTGGTGCTGGGGATCCAACCCAGGACTTCATACACTCTAGGTAATTGCTGTGCCATTGAGCTATATCCCCAGCCCTATTTTTAAAAATCACTCGTACATTTTTATAATAAACCTAAGGTGACCATCCTTTTAATATACTATTGAATTTTGTCTGCTAATATTTTGTTTAAATTTTGGCTATGTTTATAAGTGAAATTGGCCTTTAATATTTCTTGTTTTTTTCTTTCTTTCTTTTTTTTTTTTTTTTGGTCTTACTTTGGTTTTGCTTTTATCACTCAATTTACTGTCTTCAAAAAGTTAAGAGCCAGGCATGGTGGCACACATGTATTCTCAGAATTCTGGGAGACGGAGGCAGGAGGATAAGAAGCTCAAGTTCAGCCTGGGCAACACTGTGACTTAGTGAGACCCTGTCTCAAAATTTATTAAAAAAAAAAAAAAAAGTAAAACAGTGCTGAGGATGTGCTTAGAGTGAAGGTCCTGAGTTCAATCCTCAGTACCTCCACCCCTAAGCATTCTTTCTTTATATTTTTGGAGGAGCTTATAAAAGATGAAGTTATAGTCACCCTAAATTTTTTATTAAACTCAGCAGTGAAGTTCTATGTGTGTAGAGCTTTCTTTGTGTGAAGATTTTTAGCAGTTGACATTTTAAAACAATTAGAAAACTATTTTCTTTCTTTTTTGTCACTTTGGAACATTTTATAATTGTAAGATTTGCCAGTTTCATGTAAATTTTGAGTTACTGGCACATGGGCTGGGGATGTAATTCATTGGTAGAGCACTTGCTTAGCAAACTCTGGGTTTGTTCCTCTGTACCTAAAAAAGTTATCTATACAAAGTTCATAATATTTTTATCTTTATAATTTGTTATATGTATGATAATGTCTCATGTCTCATTTTCATTCTTGTTCTGAGATGTTTGTTTTTTCCTCTCCCTTGCTTTTGTCTCTTCCACTTCCAGAATTTTTGAGAGGGCACTTAATGATCTCTTGTTGATTATATTACATGCTTTTTAAATTTCATGTATTTATATCCTTTTACTGTCTCTTTTGTTCTAGCTTCTTTGGGTTTGTTTTGATACTCTTTCTTAACTTCATAAAGGTATGGTTAGTTTTACCCCTTCCAGATTATTTTCTCTCTAGAATGAGCATGTGCAGTGGTAAATTTTTGAAGCATTGCCTGGGTAGTGTTGTACAAGTTTTATTCAGTAAATTTGTTGTTGTGATTGTTTGGGGTTTTCTGTGTGAATTATATATTAAGCATTCTATATTAAGAATTCTATATTCTATATTAAGAATTCTATATTATATATTAAGAATTCTATATTAAGCATTCAAATATGTCAAGTACAAATACAGTATCAGTAGTTGTTTTTAACTCTTGTTGGTATTCTTAACTCCACTTATTCAGCAAGTAATTATGGAGAACCGTCTAGCTGCTATGCAAGGTGCAAACAGTACTCTTCTGAATTCAGCCTATATGCAGATTTGACTTAGGGTAAAGAAGCTAGTTTTTAAAATTAAATAGATCTTTTTACCTGATTTATGAAAACCACAGAGGTACATATTGCTGGGATATCAGGTGCTATTTCAGGGAGGTTCGTTTTATATAGCTTTAGTCAGCTATCCAGAATTCAGTTAATAACACTTTTAATGGAATGTTAATAGAATTTTTTATAGGTTCACTAACATTTCCTATTATTTATCATTTTACAAAATAATAATTTAGTACCAATTAAATCTGACTCCTTAGGAAATATTTGCACATGTC